GCTGCACGCCCAGCAGCACACGAGCTACTTAAGAGCTGCACACGAGCTACTGCCCAACAGCTCATGGGGCTACTGCCAAACAGCTCCGAAGCTCCCCCCCGCCAACAGACGCGCGCGCGCGTAAGCGCGCTTCGCTCACAAACAGCTCCGGAGCGCAACCGCGCGCTACCAAATAGCTCGCGAGCCCTCCGCGCACGCCCAAACTGCTTTCGAAGCCGCACGCGGCCAGTTTGCAAGTACTTTAGAGCCCCTGAGATTGCGGACCCTACGGCCTCCAGCCCTCAAAATCGGCAGGCCCTCAAAGTACCGAATTCTACCCTATGTCTCGAAACAAGGCCTGTAGCTATCACAGAGTGGAGAGCTGGAACACCCTCCCCAGAGAGAGCAACCGAGCTATGGCTACTTGCCGTTCCGCGACTTCGGAAAAGTGAGTGCATCTGCAGACGCAGAGGGCGTAGCTTTCGTTAGCATTCGTCAGTGAGCGCATTGCACTTATGTTTCGCAACTCTTTACAGGACCACAGAAGGAAGAAGTGAAGTGAAGATAAAGACATGAAAAGCACAAGCTCGAAGGAGCATGCGAAAAGTGTGAAGATGAAGCTCGAAGGAGCGTGCGACAAATGCGAAGTGGACTGTAGAAAATGTTTGAAGTTCGAGTCAAGTCGAACCCGACTTGAATCGAAGAGAGGGCGTAACAAACATTTCATTTTCCATGTGTCCCTATTCTGGACATGTTGTACAATGTTTCACTCCGCTATATGTAGGCTCAAGGAGACCCCAGACTGCCACGCGCCGTCCGGTGAGAAGTGGAATCAGCGATCCGGTGATTTAAGGGAACCTTAAAGTTTGGTTTAAAACTTGCCTAGCCTGAGGCTAGTGAAATCTCCAGGCTAACTGGGATTTGTGCCACATCCTCGAAAAAGAGAGAGTCCGGTGTGCGAGTTGGCTGTGTGAGCTCCGTCGTCGTCTCTCGGCTAGTACGTTACTCTAGCTAGTGAAACTACCTCCCGGAGGTGTAGTCGGATGGTGGTGGGTTGGATTGGGCCCTAGTGCACACCATGGTCCCACAGGACACGGTCTGACTTAGCGCGGCCAACAAAATGCAAGCCAAGATGCAGACAAGCAACCACGGGCCTATGATCCCTTGGCGAGTTGGTGTTGATGAGTTGAAGTGCATCACCTGCACGAAACCACACTTCGCACTTCGAGAAAGCAGCACGCAACTCAACTGGGCAACCCCTGTAATCAATGCGGCTGCTGTAACCACCTGAGTTGTGTAAGAATGTGTGACCGGCATCGACAAAAGTGGCGACGGCTCTAAGATGGTGCAACCGCAACATATTGGCAAGCACGGACGATCACATTAGTGAGATTCTGTTATCCTCTCGCCGGTGATATGTTCACCGTCCTTGCAAATAATAAAATGTTTGTATTTGAGAAATTTTCCTCGGGAAATTTGTCCATTCCCCTGTTTGGGGCTTGCAAAACGTTTTGTTTCGTATTTTTTTGTCCGAAATGTGTTGGTAACACCTCATGTTGTGTTTTCGTGTGCGTGAGCAGAAGACTCTGTTGCTGGTTTGAGCTTGCTCTTGAATGATATGTGTCAGCCGAAAATGGCCGCATTCTTAACTCTCAAGCTTCAAAAGGAACGGCTAGCTCCTGCCCATGGATTGGAGCTGCCTTGCGTGGGCAGGCGCAGGATTTGTGGCGGCTTTGGTCTTTGCTGGAGGCTCTTCGCGAACGCGAGCTCCAGCTGAACCAATAGTCTGTCACTGCAACTGCGCCTCTTCTCTGCCGAGTGAGTCGGGGGCCAGCGGCTTGCGAGACTGGGGGCTGCTTTTGCTAGTTCTCCTAGTGTTAGTCGGAGTTTTCGCGAACGTGGTCTTGGTTTTGAGATTCGACATCAAGAAATTGGCTACTGGGGATCAAGAATATACTCTGTCCATCAAGGGAAAAAGCGCTTCAAAAGGCGTCTACGGCGCTCGTAAGGGCTTGGAGCTCATCGGCCAGTAGGCGGAGGTATGTTCGCTGCCGGTGATCTTTGTTACTGTGAATATGGAGGGGATCGTGGAGTAGTTCATGCGCGGCTTGTTCTCGCTCATGTTGAAGCATTTGACCACGTCATCTTGACCCCAGACTTGGATCTATACGTTGAGACGCTGGACGCCAGCAATGGAGATTTCATTCGATTCTGGGCGCCGACACCCAACGGTTCTATCCCTGCAGGAGTCCCTGCTGCTCGGGTGTATGCCTTTGGAGCGATGGACGTGGCGGACTACAGGAACTACTTGTACCAAGGCACCTTGGAGGCTCGTGCGGAGAGGATCCGCAGGGGCCTCCCCGCAGATGCGATGGCAGCAGCTCCTGTCGCGCCTCTTCCAGGTGGTGGAGTTGGAGCGGTGGCGGCTCAAGCTCCACCTCCCGCGGGTTCGGAAGACACGTGGGTAGTCATGGAGTCCGAAGGCCCTTACAGGCGAGGAGATGTTCTTGCTCAGGATCCTACCCCGCTTCCCGCCAACTCCATCGTCCAAGGGCTGAAAGCCCTGGTTCCAGCCGGCCCAGAGTTCATCTATGCGAAGAAGGTCAGATCAGAGGATGCTCCGTCCCTCAAGCTCGATGATCTCAGGATCCTGCCGGTGTACTTCGATAGCCAAGGAACTCGGCGGAGGGAGTTCAACATTGCCGTCGGGCTGATGAACGACACGCCTCCGCAGGGCGGAGGCCTTCAGCTCACTGGCCCGGCCACTGTCATGAACATCCTCAAAGGCATGAGGGATCAGAACTTCACTCCGACGACTTTCCACGAACACTGGTTGAGGGTTGGTGAGATCCCGAAAGGAGACAGATCCATTTACAAGCACGAGTGCTTGAGCCGAATACTCGAGGCCTTCGTGACCATCGATCAGGTGAATGCCCCAGCACTTCAAGGACTGGAGCTCGTCTGTCGCCGCATGCAGGTCATCAGAGAAGCCCACCGCATCTCGCCTTCTGCTCCAGATTATTCAGCTGCCGATCATTTCATGGGGTGGCGATACCGAAAGGCCTCACAGGTCGATTCCGATCTCGCGGCCCACGTTGCTACAGAACTCAAGAATGAAGCTGCCATAGCAAAGGAGTCGCGGAAGGCTCGGGAAGAGCAGAACCTTCGCCGCCGGCCTCCCAAAGGTCCCAAAGGAGGGGATCACGGGGGCGGTGGCGGGGAGAAATGAGGCGGTCCGCAGGCCTGCTGGGTCAGCCGTGCCCAGATTCCTCAGGCGTTTCAGCGGCTAGGAGAGAGACCTCTCCGATTTTTGAAAATTCAGGTGGCGACGCCGCTCCGAAGGATGACCGATGGCGAGAGCTTTTTCCAATGCCTTTCCTCCAGGCTTCGGGTAGGGAAACTACTGGGAGCTACTGTTCAAGAAGGCGAAAGGCTCGGGAAGAGCGACTCGTTCAGGAATCCAATGAGGTGATCGAGGCTCTGAACGAGATCTACCAGTCTCAGGCGCGCTCACCCAGCTCAGCTAAACCATCTCTTGCGCAGAGTAAGGGTCAGCATGCTGTTTACTATCAATTAGCGAGGCTGCGCAGACCGCAGTCCCCATGCAAGCTGCGTGAGGCTATCCAAGAGCTTCTGCGCACTAGCCTTTCTTATGATGGAGAAATGGCTCCTAGTACAGTCAGGTCCTATGACAGAGCCCTCATCAGTCTGCCCGATTGTGCCTCCTCACCGGTGCCGTTGGAGCAGGTGCTCGATGAAAGCGGGCGGGATACAGTCAAGGACCCCTTCCGGTGCATGATGTTGTCGGAAGATGAGTGGGGAGAAGTGATTGAGCAGCATTCACCTATCGAGCCCTACATGGACCCTCTCCTTAAGGATGACCTGCCTGAGTATTCCCTGTTCATCCAGGATTTGTTCCACAAGAATATGGTCGAGTTCACAGAGGCACCCAGGGATTGCGTCACTCCGTTTTTCGTCGCTAAAAAGTCGGGGCGACTCCGCATGGTTCTGGACTGTCGGACTGTGAACCGGCGCTTCAGGCCTCCGCCTCCCTTGGCGCTTTCGGCCGGCTACTCCTGGTCTAGGCTGCGGGTGCCGAAAGGGAAGAAGCTCTACATTGCCCAAAGTGATATTCGTGATTACTTCTATGCGCTGGAAATGCCCCACAACCTTCGTCCTTTATTTTGCCTCCCACCCGTGCCGAAACAGCTGCTTCGCGAATGGGATGTTCCGGCCGATAGAGGGGGAGATCTGGTCGGGGACAACGGGTGGGTGTGGCCAATGCTCCGAGTCATTCCTATGGGGTGGAGTTGGGCAATGTGGTTGGCACAGAAGGTTCATGAGGAGCAAGTTCGCATTGCAACAGGCTTCGGTCCAGAGCGCATCCTGACGGAGGGATCTTCAGCCCCAAGCTTGGACGAAAATATTCCCGTGCTCATTCCCTATGCGGATAACTTGAACGTCTGCGGGCTCTGCCGATCCGAGGTCCAGAAGGCCAAAGAGCAGGTCGTCAGCCATCTCCAGGCGTTGGGATTCCGTACTCATGAGGAAATGGACGCCGGAACTAGGGCCATCTCCTTGGGTTTCGTGGTCGACGGGGATGCGGGTCTTGTCTCTCCTATTCCCGAGAAGCTGGATAAAATCTGCCAGGTTTTCCAATGGCTATCCACTCGGCCGCGCGTTGCAGGCAAGTCGGTTGAGAGACTATTGGGGCATGCAGTTCATGTGGCTATGCTTCGGAGAGAGCTGTTGAGTATTTTTCGGTGCTTGTACGACTTCGTGCATCATTCGTATTCGCAGAGAAAACGACTGTGGGCCTCCGCTGCCAGAGAGGCTCGATGGGCAGCGCGGCTCTTGAAGCTCTGCTGCGCCGATCTGACTCGGCAGTGGGACGGAGAAATAACTTGTTCCGATGCTTCTCTCTCTGGGGTTGCCGTTTGCAAGCGCTCACTCAGCCCTGAGCTCATCGAAGAACTGGGTAGTCAAAGGGAAGTGTGGCGTTACAAGTCCTTCAACCCCACGTTGAGGCCCAGAGATAAAGCCCTCGGATTCGGTGATCCTTTTACTGACCCTGCGACTGTCAAGCCGTGTCATCCTGAAGTGGATTTGCCATTTACGCTTAACCGAGAATTCAAGGAGATCCCCAAGCAGGTGATGGACACGAATTCGTGGTCCCTTTCGGTTGCGGCGCACATGACCACCCCTGAGCACATCACACTCCTGGAGGGCAGAGGGTTCGTCGCCAGCCTCAGGCATAAGTTACGAGCTGCGCGTAGTTTTGGAAAGAGTCACCTTCACTTGGGAGACAACTTGGGCATGGTCCTTGCGGCCGAGAAGGGTCGTTCAGGGTCGTATGGTCTTCTCCAAGTTTGTCGACGTTTAGCGGCTTTGACTTTGTGCTCAAACTCGCAGGTCTGCTACCGATGGGTGCCCAGTGAATGGAATGTTGCGGATGCAGGGTCCAGACGCTGGGAGGCTCTTCGAGTGAATCATGCTGAGGGGCGAAGTGTCCGCTCCAAAGCGAAGGAGGTCAGAGCAAAGATCGATGCCAGTCGAAGCCTCTTTGGCGAACCTGGAGCAGGATCGGCTCCTTCCCAGGGCACAGGCATCAACAGCGAAGAGGGGCAAGCGACCTTTGGGAGGAGAGAATCGTCAAGAGAGGACTTCCAAGAGGGCTCATTTCATTCAGGATCGCATTCAACGGCCTCGCTTTCCAGGACAGTCTCTGCTGGAGCAGGAAGCGGTGACCCCAGCAGTGGGGCACGATTACCAGAAGAGGTACACGGAGTTCACGGAATTTGCGAAGAGGCAGCGACTACCCCTTCGTGGAGCGAAGAAGTTGGACGAGGCCTTAGTGTCCTTTCTCAACAACGCCTTCGAGCTCGGCTACGACCTGTCAGAGGCCACCAAGTTCTTCGCCGCGGTCCTCGACGCGCACCCAGGCTCTGGCCACAAGGACACCCTCCCTCGCTCCAGAAGGTGCTTGAAAGGTTGGCATCGGCTAGATCCGGGCAAGACACGACCGCCGCTCCCTTGGGCACTGGTAGCCCTCATCGTAATAGACATGTTGCAAGCAAGAGCTCTTCAAGTGGCCGCGCTGGTGCTGTTGATGTTCACCACGTACATGCGGCCTGGGGAGGCTCTCAGCGTGAGAAAGGAGGACCTTATCCTTCCCAACCGCAGCTGCAAGCATTACAGCCTCAACCTCTATCCAGACTTCAGGCCCGAGCGCTCAAAGATGGGCTTAGCAGACGAGAACATTCTCCTCGATTCTCGCCAAGTTCCTTGGCTAGGCGATGCTCTTCATCTGCTGGCTCGAAAAAACGATTGTGCCTTGCTGGAGGTGACGGTAACACAGCTCAGAAACCAGTGGGAAGCCACACTACTGAGGATCGGTCTTCGTGGAAACCACTGCGTGCCGTACCAGCTTCGGCACTCGGGGCCGAGTCACGACCTTCTGACAAGAGCCAGGAGCATGTTGGAAGTCAAGATGAGAGGGAGGTGGGCGGCGGATTCGTCGGTCAAAAGGTACGAGGCGCACGCTCGAGTGGGTCAAGAGTTCCAGGCTCTCCCAAAGAAAGTGCAGCAGAAGGCCCTAGCGGCAGCCGACAGCTTCGACCTGGTGGCCCAAAAGTTTTTTGGTGTAAAGACTCGTTAGCGCCTTGGGTCGTAGAAATCTTTAGCGGCAGTGCAAGACTTTCAAGAACAGCTGCTCAACATGGGTTCAATGCGATCGCCTTTGACATTGCTTATGGTCATAATTGTGATGTCTTGCGCCCGTCAGTGCAATCATCCATCCAGCGCTTTCTCAGGATGCACACAATCGCTCTTCTCTGGTTTGGAGTCCCGAGCGAAAGCTGGTCTCGAGCTCGGCGCTGGGACGGGGGGCCTACGCCTCTTCGTGCAGATGTCTGTGTATATGGCCGATCCGGCCTTTCTGGTGCAGACGTCCAAAAAGTAGAAGCTGGGAACCAACTGGTGCGTGTTACGTGCCAACTGTGCAAGTTCGCCATTGACCAAGGCATCTCATGGGTTATCGAGAATCCTTACACTTCGCGGATGTGGTTGACCCAAGAAGTCCATGAATTGCCAGCTCTCGGAGCGACGCTGCTTCGAGTAGATCTTTGTGCATACCGCGTGCCCTGGCGCAAAGCCACGGGTCTGCTCTCACATGCCTTCGTTGGTTTGGACAAAGTGCTCTGCTGCTGCCGCACCAGACATGGGCGCTGTGAATTCTCTGGGCGCCGACACATAGTCCTCACCGGCAAGAATGCAGATGGCATGTGGTTGACTCGCATTGCGCAGCCATATCCAGTCAGGCTTTGCCATGCAATATGTGGCCAGTTGGCCAGCTCTCACAATGTGGGATAAGGGGAGTGAGGCCGCTGAGTCATCGCTTTTCGCCTGTTGCTTCTCAGAGGCTCGCGAGGCTGACCCAGCTTTTCCTCTCTGCCAAAAGTCGTTTGGCCTGTATCTCTGAAACCTGATGCGCACGTGTCCGCTTCTTGCACAAAAGATCCGTGAGCAGCGCATTCTGGCCATGAGAAGCGTAATATCTCATGGTTTGAGCTTGCTCTTGAATGATATGTGTCAGCCGAAAATGGCCGCATTCTTAACTCTCAAGCTTCAACCCGCCCGCTTCCGCCCATTTCTTGTACAGGGGGGAGTGAGGCCGCTGAGTCATCGCTTTTCGCCTGTTGCTTCTCAGAGGCTCGCGAGGCTGACCCAGCTTTTCCTCTCTGCCAAAAGTCGTTTGGCCTGTATCTCTGAAACCTGATGCGCACGTGTCCGCTTCTTGCACAAAAGATCCGTGAGCAGCGCATTCTGGCCATGAGAAGCGTAATATCTCATGAACATGTGGTCACATCTTGTCATGCACCGATAAAGGTCTGGGCTCTGAAGGTACAAGTTTTTGTCCCACCCTCCCACCCTGGCGGGAATGAGGGACCGCTGTGATGTGCACCGTCATAGATATGTGCTCAAACTCTTATGTGCAGCGCATGGCCGTACCGGACATCGATTGCGAACTTGTGCCATCCCCCGTCCGGTCATACATTGTGGGGGCGGGTCAAAACCTTCTGGTTTGTAACAGGGCCGGGGCGCCCCTTGCGCGACAACTTTGTAACAAGAATGTTTTTTTGCGACAAGGCTGGCGCGACAAGGTCCATCATGTGGCATTGCCGCGCGACAAAGGTTTGAAACAAAGCCGGCGCGACAAGGGTTTGTAACAGAGGGGGGGTGCCCCGCGACAACACGGGGTATTGACCCCTGCCCTGACATGTTGGATTGGACAGATTTCATCAGTTGTGTATATGCTTCCGGATGACGAAATAACTGTATTTGTGCTGCCTTTTGTGTTTGTGGATTTCATTTGAATTGATTGGCAATCACGGAGAAACTGAAGTTTTCACGGTCAAGCTGACACGGGCCCAAATGCGCGTCAGCAGTACCCAAATGGCCGCGCAAGGCAGTCAGCATGCATACCAAGTTTGCCATTGGCGTCAAGCAAGAAAAGCGGTGTACACCGTGCTGGCAACAAGGACAATTTCTGGGACAGCACATTCCAGAATGTGGTAGCACGAGCACGGTCTCTTTCGTATTGTGACTCACATGGAGCATAGCCCACAACCACAGCGACGTCGATGCGGCCAGTTTTGAAACGCACCATGCCAAGGCGGCCACGCACTGAAGCAGGTGGAACCCAAACTTCACGAATGCTGGAAGCAGGAAGGCAACGTTTGCGAGCACAAATGGCACCCCCAGTTGGTCGCCCAGCCTTGCCCGCTGCCCGACCCCAAGGAAACACATGGAATCCATCCTGACTGCTTTGCTCAACTGGTATGTGGTGCATTGTGTGCCTTGAAGGCAGCTCCGGAATTGGCCTAGGATGTCACGAAAGCGATCGCTCGGGCGACAAGACAGAGGATTGCAGCTGCAGACCCGACTGAAGCGGAAACGAGGGGCATCGCCCTGGCCGTAATTGCGCAAGGAGGCGTCCGTGGCTCAGAACCTAAAGCAGTGAGGAGGGATGCGCGGTGTCACCAGGCCTGAGCAAAAAGTGCTTGGAATAGGGTTTGGGGATATATCATATAGCCCAAGTATAGCAGAAACCATTTGGAACAAGACAGTCTTAATATTTTCTGTGCAGTATTCCACAAAATACCCCGACAGTCACAGTGTAATTGTTCAGGCCCTGTAGGCAAACCATTGATGGTTTATGGCTTGAGGACACAGGAATGTGCGTGCCTTTATTTGGGGCGAGTTCACCGCTCAGTGTTTCATTCGATTCTCACCATGCGCATCGGCTTCTCGTTTACACCGACACTGAGACACTTGTTGCTGGTACTCTGTGGTATGCTGTTGATGACCGAAGGATACGATCACCGCCAAAACGCTTAGAGTCTTAGCGAGGATGAAAAACCGGTGATGGCTGTATAAGGAGGCTGTCAGTGCAAGCGCTGATAGTCCTTTAATGCTTGAGATCTGCATTGCAACAGCAGCTGTGCTTGTTGCATGGCGCATCGACACAAGCTTATCAATTGACGTTCGAGTATTTGGTGAGTTCGTCGACAATGCTAATAATCAGAATCAATACGGTTCATCACGGTCAATACGAGCAATAATTCATGACACAGCCATCGCATGTAAATGGAGCGCCACGCAAACGATAACCGGTTGATAAATGATCGATCCACTGCTGATGTCCTCGACGCGACGGCAGGAACAAGGCACGCAAGGGACTCGAGCATTTTAAACCTTGGTTGGGTCTCATTGCGGTTTATGGAATGCTTTAGTAGAGTAGGCTACCGAAGTGTAATGCTGTAATGGGCTATGACTCCATGCCATGATAAAGCAGACCAGAGTAGATTGTGGTATCATAGCGTGCCATAGTGTAGTATAGGAATACAGACTGGCCATTGGGCTGAGGAGTGTAGGTCGAAGACTGATTTGGCGTGTAGCATGTTGTTGCAGTACGAACGGTATCCGATAATGCTGACTACTGCGTCGATCAGCGTTGTACAATCTAGGCTTGATGTATGCTTGGTATCTTCACTTGTTTGCCAGAACCACGGAAAACTGGGCCGCTTGGCTGATGAACATCATGGGTGCTTGGCGGTGGTCGAGCAATCCTAGTAACTGCTCCATGTGAGCCTGTCCACACCCCAATCACTGCAACCCCCCGAACTCCTGTCTTTGCTGCTGCCATTCCTGTACCGCACCATCATTCCTCCTCCAACGTTGTCGCATGTCGCCACTTATAGCGGGCTTGTTTGCAGGTTCTGCACTGCCGTTGAGGGACACCCAGAGTCTGAAGACTGGCATCGGACGGTGTGAGAAGGAGGCGATGGTGTTCACAGTCTATTCTCGTAGCATAGTATAAGGTACAATAAGATGTTTTAGCCTAGTAACTGCCTAGTATATGATACGACATAGTTCAGTACGGCATAGCATGCCTGCAGCATTGTATAGCATAGTATCCCGAGAGACGAATGGGTGCAAGTGCGTCCGAATCCAGTTGTTTTTCTGTTTTGTAGATGGCATGCTGCAACCTTTGTGTTTGATGTGCTGAGGTGAGTGGAGTTTCGATGTTCTGCCACGGTACGTTGCAGCAACTCGTCCAAGCAATTTGACGGTGCGTTTGTCTCATCCCTGGCTGGACGTGTGCTGGTATGCAGACACAATCTTTTGCTGCATGCCCATCCACCGTGTGAACAGTGGGCGAGGAGCTCGGCTACGCAGCACTGTGGACAATTAATGTGGCAGGGTGGACACTTGAAGCAGGTGCAGCAATCGCACTTCGGAAGACAGCATCGTGGACAGCACAGCTGGCAGCATCCGCAGCACGGCCCTTCCTTCTCATGGGTAGCCTTTGCACCTCTTCATGATGCACCCCCACTAAGTAGCAAGCATGTCATGGGCATCGCAAGGCAGACCACGCTTGACAATACAAGGACTTACAAACACTTATAGGGACTTATAAGGCTTTACCAGGACGTATTGGTGCTTTATAGAGCTCACTGAGCGTTAATAAGGCCTAATCGTTTGGGGGGGCGCATGCCTGCAACAGCTCAGGCTTCAAGTTTGAAATGCAAAGTGCCCATTGTTGTGGACACTGCTTGTTAGGCCTTAGTAAGCCTTATTTCCGCTTATTAGATCATACTAAGCCGAATTAGCGGGATCCATCTGCGGGGGCGCTTTCTGGAGAGGCGCATAGTGGACCCATGATTCTCCGCGGACCTCTCGCTGGAGCTCGCCAAGCTGCCTCATGATAGCGGAGCAGATCCTGCCTCTACCCTGCTGCCTCCCCTCGTGCTGCCACCGCTAAGCACAACTTTCAGCGCACAAATAGGAGCTTCTTTGTGATTTAACTTGTGACTCTCAGATCAGGCGTGACAGGCTTGCACATTGGTTTCGCAGCCAGGTTTCGCAGCAAGCTAGCGCAGGCCGGTTCCTAAGAAACGCGTGCCAGGCTCAGTCCGGGTTCAGATGTACTTGTCCACGCTAAAACACAAGTAAGGGGGAGCCCACGGGCATGGCAAGGATGAGCCTGGTTTCGCAGTGTTTTGCAGAAGCTGTTTGGCCCAATCCTGCCTTTGCGTTTCTGCTGCCATTGTTCTCACAGGATTCTGCTGTTTAATCCCGATAGAACAGCCGCAGACTTGTGAGATGTGCCCCGAGCGGAGGGGACACAGCCTGTCATTGATGCTATTGTCAGCAAAGCAGGACCGGCAGGTAAATACAAGCAAGACTCTCAATCATACTCCCCAGTGCTTTGATTCTGGACTACTGTGCTGTGCAGGAGTCTGAAGTTTGAAGGCTGCAATAGCTATCGTGGTGTTGGTCATGTACAACATGTGCACCGACACATGCGGGACTTCAGCGACTTGAAGATCTATCTGAGAACGTCAGGATCTGAACATCAGAATGTTCCGGGATTGCACCGGACATTGCCGGGTCGACAGAAAACTGCTGTAACTCGTTCTTGCCCTCGAGCTCTCAGGCCTCTTGCGGCTAGCGCCTGTGAAGGTTTGAGGTATGCTCAGGCTACTTCTGTTGTGCACTCGAGTCACTTGCTGGAAGGCAGGAAAATGGTAGGACTTTTTGCAAGCTCTGCAAGCGTGGAGCCCCATTGTACAAACTGTCTGGCTCTGCCTTGATTGCTAGATGCAAGAGGTATCGCAGGCCCTAACTCTCATACCACAGACTGGTTGCTTGCATTACAAAAAGTTCTTGCCCTCGAGTTTTCTACCCCTCCTGGCCTGGGTGCCTTTCCCATTCCTGTCTCGTGAAGCGCCAGCTACAGATGCACATGTTGGCTCATGGCATCAAACGACCGGCAGTCGCTCCGTTACCAGTGCCTCAAAATCTTT